TAAAGAGCGCGTTTCGTCTTGCTGTATTATAGTGTAACTAGATGGGCGACTTGCAGCTGAAACTTTCGGCCGACGTATTCGCAAAAACATACACCATGTATCCAATGGATCCCGCAATCCCCATGACGGCAAAGACACTTGCCAGGGCGAGAATAGATAGAAAGACGCCCGAATGGCGCTTATGGGCTCTGATTCCTGCCTTAATGTATTTTTTCGGTTTATGTTCGTACCCTTCGGTTTTCATAGCAACTGCATCATAGCAAATTATGTTTTCGGCGTTGGTTTTCACACAGAGGGCCCACACGTTGAAGAGGTACGGGAACATGTATGTGAGTGGGATCATTGTCAGCGCAGACGTGAACGCTGCCACAGCCATCACGTTTGGAACACCTGCACTGATCAGGAAAATGACGATCCAGACCAGACACGTTGTGGCCGACCAGAGCAGCGTGCCACGGACCGAATTGAACCGGAGGTTTTTGAAGATCTCTGGGAGGTAGTTTTTGTACACCACTTTGGCCGACAAATGGCCGTAGAAGGTGGCCTGGACAAAACCGGTGACGAATGTGACAAATCCAAAGCCGCGCAGAGCTGCAATGTTCGCGATGCCTAGTGCAGCCGGCGAGTTCGAAAACTGGCCCTGTCTCGCGTACACAAAGTTCCCGTACAGCAGATACGTCGCCAGGATGCACACCTGTGCCAGCAGCATGCTCTTCCAAAAATCCCACGGCCTTCTCATTTCAGCTAGAATTTCCGGGAAAACTAGCAACCCTGCAAAAACGTACGACAGACTCGTCACAGAAACGAGTCGAGACACGAAATCTTGCGGAGCCACAGCGTAGCTGTGGACCTCGCCGCGGTCCAAGCCCAGAACGGCCTTTGCGTTGTCCCAGTTGGGTTCCTTGAAAAAACCCAGCTGCGCAAACAGACATATATAGTTGATAACGGATATCCACACGCATAGATTGCCTAGCTGTTTGAGCTGCTTCAAATGGCCGATTATTGCCTGCACACCACAAAGAAGCACAACTAGTCCGCAAAAACACACGCGTTGGTCCCGCATAATCTCCAGTCCCTCTGCCGCCCCAATGATGATGGTAGCGGAGGTCAATATCATAGCCACAACCTGTAAGAAAACTAGAAGGTGTCTCCATGTCCTGCCTCCAAGCAGCTCGGCAATGTCCGCAAACGTGCGTATAGGATACTCAGGAGAGTCGAACAGTATAAACAGCCACCATACCAGTCCTCCTGCCACAAGCGCAAAGCCGAAAAATACAAATAGCATGATGTTTCCTGGAACGTAGCCTAAATACGACATGCTCTGGGGAACCAACATGGCTCCCATAATTTCTGTCGTGAGGAGCCCGGCACACGCTAGCCAGTGCGAGTTGCGCTCGGCAAGACTGTCGTCTTTCCAGGTCGTGTATTCACTAGCGGGTTCGAGAGACTCGATCTTGAGGGTGCGGTAGATCCACTGGTTCCACCATCGCAGATGGGCCTCATTTTTCACCTCCTGATACTGTTTTTCTATGTATCTCTGCGCATAGAAGAGTCTTGTAACCAGCGGGACAGCTGCAGGCTCCACGGTCTGCGTAGATACACGGACTTGCGTTTTCATGAGAATAAATATTTTGGCTGCAAAGACAAAAACAAATCGCAGAAGCGGCAGACTTTCTGTAACACACGAGGAATATTTCGGACGGCCACCCAGAGGAATTGTGCGTGGAGTAGTGACGAACCAGATACCCACTTCTTCGTTGATGGGGCAGTATTGCCAGATCGTCTTTCGTGGCACCCTAAGCCTCCTCTCAACGGGTACCATGTAGACGCAAGGAGCGATAAGAGATAACGAGTGCACGTGACACGAGGTCACATGACACAAGAGCTCAAAAGTCCTGGTTTTTCGCGAGCACGAGACGGAGAGCCCATGAAAAGCACAGCTGGCGTCTCTACGTACTCTATGTTTCCAGTAGCCACACCAAGGGGTCCACTCCTGTGCACCCCAGAACCAAATAGGTATCATACCGCGGTCGTAGAAACTGCCTAATCTGGATCGGCACTTGTCACAGATTGGCAATGATCGCAATATATTTTTTCATTCGGGAATCATTCGCGACAGATAAGATTGGTGGACCTGCTGGTAGTCTCGTAAAAGCTCTAGTAGCGGTGTAGCAAGCTGTTACTGAGGCAAGGTATGAGTGGGGAGTAGCTTGCAAGGCCCTGCTACGCCAATTCCCAAGGCGAGAGAAGGTTGTACCGGATCAAGCAGCCAAAAAAATCAAATTTCTGATCAGGTATGCAAGGATAACGTTTGCTGGCCTAATTTGGCAGTGGCAACAGTATAAAAGGACCAATAGATCCAGGTTGGATGCAATCATGACTGTTGACAAAAACCACCACTATCTTTTCCAAGCTAAAGTCTCTGACAGACAACTGGAGTGTGTTGGCACGGCCAAAGACGGCCAATGGCTTATTCTTCAGAATCCTAAAACTGGAGAGAAAAGAGAGATCTACGATGCGGTCTCTGGGGCTGCTGTGTGCTCTTTGAAGCACGGAGACACTGAAATTCTGTCTCAAATGAACGACTTTGCCAAGCAGTCTGCGTACACTTTCTGCGCGGCCTTCTCCAACACGGCTGCCGAGGACCTTGCGGAGTTTATGTGCTCCAAGTCGGAGGGCTGCTTTAGCTCGGCCATGTTTGTTTGTTCCGGATCGGAGGCCAACGAACAGGCAATGAGGTACGCTGTTCAGTACCATATCGAAAAGGGCGATAAGGAGAGGTACAAATTTATCTCCAGAACCAACGCCTACCACGGCTACCTGGTTGGCGCGCTTTCTATTGGAGACAATCCAATGAAGCCGCTACTAAAGAAAATGCTGCTTTCTGACGACCAAGTCCCTAAGATCTCTAGACTCATGCCGTACAGAGACATGAAACCAGGCATGTCCGAGGAAGAGTACTGTAAAATGTTGCTGGACAACCTGGAGCAGACTTTTATCGATAACGGGCCAGAGAAGGTTGCCGGTGTGTTTATGGAGACCGTGAGCGGCTCCTCGATCGGTAATAGCGTCCCACCAAAGGGCTATCTGGACGGAGCCAAAGCTATTTGCGAAAAATACGGCGCTTTGCTGATCTTGGACGAGGTCATGTGCGGTCTGGGCAGATGCGGCTACCCATACACCTTCATGGACCCCGAATTCGGACTCACCACGGGCGGGCCTGACCTGTTGACATTTGGAAAGACCATCGGCGCGGGAATTGTTCCGTTGTCGGGCGTCATGGTTTCGCCCAAGATTGTCAATGCCATTAAGGAGGGGTCCGGCATGGTCATGGGCTACCAAACCTACCACTCGCACTATCTGAACTGTATTGTTGGTCTGGCTGTGCAGAGAAAAATCTACAGAGACAATCTGATCGAAAACGTCAGAGAAGTCGGCTCGTACACCAAGGCGGCGCTCAAGGCAGCGCTCAAGGACTGCATGGTGGCTGGCGACGTGAGAGGTGCCGGAAACTTCATTTCTGTGGAGCTTGTCAAAAATAAGGAAACCAAGGAGTCCTTCCCGCCTGAAAAGGACATGGCCAAGGTGCTGCAGGAGAAAACTTTTGCTCGGTCGGCACACTTTATGTGCATCAACGGGTGCAATGGCTACGAGTACGTGGACGGCAAGCTTGTGCAGCACGGCACCCACATTACGATGGCTCCGGCCTTTGGCTACTCTAAGGAGGATGCAGACTTCATTGTCAAGGTTATCGCCGAGAGCTTCTTTGAGATTGAGAAAGAGTATTTGTAGTATTAGTAATTGCTACACTTGTTCGTTTTTGGAAATAGCCGTTTTTCTTATCATATAAATAGGCCTCGCGGCCTGGAAAAAAAAGTGAAAATGTCTGTTCTTGTCACAGGAGCCACAGGTTTCATTGCCCTTCACGTTGTGGATAAATTGCTTGCCAGAGGATACACTGTGATTGGCACGGCCAGATCAGAGGAGAGATTCGCTCCCTTCCTCGCAGAGTTCAAGAAGAAATACCCTGACGGCAAGCTGTCGTTTGAGATTGTGCCGGACATTGGCGCAGACGATGCTTTTGATCACGTGCTCCAGGCTCATCCGGAGATCACCAAGGTGCTGCACACAGCCTCACCTTTTTCTTACGGCCTGAACAAGCCCTTTGAAGAGGCGTACTTGACTCCTGCCGTCAATGGCACGCTCAACATCCTCAAAGCCACCAAGAAGTACGCCCCTCAGGTCACCCACTTTGTGGTCACGTCCTCGTTTGCTGCGGTGAAAAAGGTCGGCGACGAGCTGTACACCCACGTTCACACCAAGGACTCGTGGAATCCAATGACCTGGGACAACGTCGACAGTGAGACTGCTGCGTACGTTGTGTCCAAGATCTCTGCTGAAAAGGCGGCAAGAAAATTCCTCGAGGATGAAAAACCGGGATTCAGTCTTTCCACTGTCAACCCGCCTCTTGTGCTGGGTCCTCAGCTGTTTGATGTTGCCGTCAACGAGACGCTCAACACCTCGAACCAGTACATTGTGGACATTGCGAAACTGACCGACAAGAATGGAACAGCCACCAAGATCAGCTCGTTGGCCGTCGATGTCAGAGATGTTGCCGAGTTCCACGTGCTCCCTCTGGAGAAAGAGGCCATCAGAAACCAGAGAAACTTCATTGCTTCGTCCAACTTCTATCCTGGCGAGGTGGCTGCCATCATCAAGAAGAACTTCCCCCAGTATGCCGACAAAGTGCTTGACCTGGACGACCTGCCAAAGAAAGAGATCAAATTCGACGTCTCCTCGGTGGTCGAGCCATTGGGGGGCTACGACTTCATCTCTCTAGAGAAGTCGGTTGTCGACACGTTGACCCAGTACTTTGCCAAGTATCCGTTGTAAGTGTATAGGGATAATTTATTAGCACTCTCTCGGACGTTCCACTTGCGGCCTCGGTATGCAGGTGTCGGGGGTGCGCCTTATCGAAAGTGATATTAAGCAATTTGCTCGCGGAAAAAGTTTCTCATCCAAAATGCAAAAAGTTACATGGGAAGAAGTTGGAGCTGCTCCAAACGCTATTCTGTCGCCAGCTTACAAGAGCAATGGCCATGTGTTCACCTCTGGAAGCGTTGGCTTCGCTCCAGACGGCACCGTTCCTGAGGACGTTACGGTGCAGACCAAGTACGCCATTGAGGCCCTGGAGAAGGTGCTCAAGACTTCTGGCTCGTCGCTCGACAAGGTGCTGAAGGTGCTGCTGTTTATTGCCGACCCGATTGATGCTCCAGCGGTCAATGCCGTCTACAAGGAGTACTTCAAGCACCAGCCAGCCAGATCGTGTGTTGTTGTCAAATTCCCAGACGCCAGGCTCAAGGTTGAGCTGGAATGTGTTGCTGTGTACGAGTAAGTATAATAGCCAGCTTCGGAGTGCCTAGACGGGTTCTTCTTTTGGACGAAATAGTAGCAAACTTATCGATCTATCGGATTTCCCAATTAGGAAATATGCGCGCTTGATTGATTCGAAAAACTGGAAAACCCGTCCGAAACGCATACTAAAATACAGCTAGATACGGCTTTTCAATCAGTATGTGTTCAGCCAGTCAATGAACTCGGTCCACTGGAACAGCGACTCGGCCCATGACTCGATCTCATCTTCCGACGCGCGCTGTAGCCCGTCTCTGAAGCTCACCACCGAATTTCCACTGACACCAAGGTCTCGTCCTGATTCTCGCACATAGCGCAGAATCTCGTCGTGGCTCATGTTCTGAAACGTCACCACACCTTCAGGGGTAGTGCAGGTAATGCATGCTAGTAGTTCGTTGATGAGCCCACTTCCTCTATCCTCCAAATGGTCGTAGCCCAGATTATCTATGAACTTGAGGCATTCGACCACCAAAATGACACGCTGATCGTTCTGCTGCAGCTGGATGTTCATAAGAACATCAACTATTAGAAAAACCGATGAGGTCAAAACGTGATGAACAAGAGACCAGATTCGGTAATGCTGGAGCGTCACTTGAGACATGAATAGCTCGAGCGTCAGTAGAGAGTAGCACACACAGGTGGATCGGTACTTCAGCATCCACTCATCCTTGCTGGTGTAGCTCGCTAGCGATTGGTTGATATGCGCGATTTGCGCGTACAGAGTGTCCAGTATAACATGCCGACGTACCCAGTAGGGGTCGTCCGGTGGTCTTTGGAGGTCTTGCACATCCAGAAGAGCTTTGGTTGCCGTGAGAAGATCGATTAGCTCGGAGTTGGCCGCCAAAAGCGTCTGCTTAGCATCGGCATGGCCCACGGACGAGCAGCGTTTTCTTATCAGTGCGATGCGCGCGAGTGTTTGCTGGAAGGACGAAGAGGTGAACTGGGGGTCAATGGAATCCAAGCACAGATCGGAAGTGATGATGCTGGACCGGCCGTACACTTCAAGGGCATCCACAATGACCAAGCTGGTCCACACACGGCGCGAAACGGACTGTTCATCGCTAGGAATGCCCATTCTCAATGCCGTGTCAATCATATCGTTCAGCAGAGAATACGCCACTGCGGTGTTGCCAAACCCTTGAAGCGTCGTTAGTAGGATACTGAACGCCTGCAGTACATGGAGATTGGGGTTTTCGACGAAATCACTGCGGTGGATACACTCGAGAGACGCAAGATAGCAGGCATGACTTCTGTCTAAGTTGGTGTCTGGATGGTGCATTCTGTAGTGCTCGGTTGTGTCCTGGTGCACGTAGAAAGCAAGGGCTAGCAAAGCGTACAGTACGGAGAACCAGCCAAACCGCTTTCTGCGCATGTTAAATTGATCGGGGTGTTCTGTAACTTCCTCGTCGAGAATAAAGATGGAGGCATTATGGGCAAGACAGAACTCAAGCTCAGACTGGAATTGAGCCTCATCCAGAGTGTTGAAGAGGAAACCCAAGGCAGATAGTGAGAAGTGGACTTTTTCCAGACAAAGCTCGCGAGTGATGCTGGATATCAAGCGTTTGACTAGCTCCTTTTTGAAACTGTAGCTTGTGGACTCATAAAAGAGCGTCCAATGGTTGGGACGGCGTTTCGAGACCGGCCATAGACTGGGATCCTGCAGGTACAGCTTGAAGTCGGCGGCTTCGGGCCCCCGCTTGGAAAGACCCCTCGATATATACTCTATTCCGCCGTCGTTGATGGACACGTGACCTTTTTCAGGGTGCCTTCGCCGGCCCTGTGCACTAATCAGCGGGATTTGCGACCTTCGGATCCTCTTTCTCAAGTGCAGAATCTCCTTCGCTGCCTCATCCAGCTTTCTCGTGAGCTCGTCGTTGGCCGAAGCCAGTTGTTGCATAGTTGGCTCGTTTAGCAGTCTCCCGCGAACAACCACTGGCTCGCGGATGCATGCATCGCTAATTCCACGGCGCACACATTCAGAACACGGAACCTGCTTGTCGCATTTTACATGCCGCCGAGAACACTGCAAACAGGTTTTCGGAGCACGCTCGCTGATTCTGATATTTTTCATTAAATTTTGACACTCACAAAGTTGGAATATTTCTGACTCTATTTGCTCTCATACAAGCAAATAAAAGCCAAACATAGACACACCACACGGTTGCTTTCCCTTGGTGGTGAAACTCAACAGAAGAAAAGTGCAGCGGTGGATCCCGGACGGTATCGCTATTTTTTCGGAAATTCACCCGAGACTTTATCTAAAGCTCGATAAGAAAACACCTTTCAGATTTTGTCCGCCAATAAATGTAGCCACGAATCTCAGCAACATCCAAAACAATCACCATGGCAACTAGTAGAAGAATACCAAAGTCCCAAGGCGCGTTGACTGCCGTCAGTCTCTTGATGGCCGTTTGTTTCCCAACCGCTTTTGGCTATGATTCTCTCATGATGTCTTCCTTGAATGCACTGCCAATGTACAAGGACTATTTTGGAATCACAGATGCCACCTCCAACTTGAACACAGCGTCCATGTGGATAGGTCAGATAGTGTCAGTGCTTAGTGTGCAGTATTTCGCAGACCGTTTTGGCCGGCGGCCCTGCGCTATCGGAAGCATGCTTATTGTCAGCTTAGGAATCATTCTACAGTCTGCAGCACAGAATGTTGCAATGTTTGTGATTGGAAGAATAATTCTGGGGCTTGGGTTTGGAATCGGAGCAGTTTCGGTCAGCGTTCTGGTTGCAGAGTTGACGCCGCGTAAATGGAGAACAACGATCACTGGTCTATTTTTTACCAACTTCTTATTGGGAGCCTTGATTGCATCGGCAGTGACATACGGCTCCATGGATATTCAGTCCACATGGTGTTGGAGACTTCCTTCTGTTGTTCAGTCCATCCCTTTGCTCTGCTCCTTTGTTTTTGTTTGGTTTTCACCGGAATCTCCTAGATTTCTGATCTTGAAAGGCCGCGAAGAAGAAGCAAGGGAAATTCTGGCCATTGTCGAGAACACCACTCCGTATGGTGAGGTTGTTGAGGACATTGTTCTAAAAGGTATGGAAGAAAGTGGGGACAATCGTTCCCAGTTCATTGTCTGGGGAGAGATTCTTGCTACAGCCCCAGGAAGACGGAGAATGCTTATTTTATTCATCCAGTCAGCCATAATTGAGTTTGGCGGATCGTCTGTTTGCTCATATTACCAGTCGCTTTTGCTGGGGCAGGCAGGAATCACAGATACAAAACAAAAGCTACAGGTGGGCATTGTGTCTACCGTGTGGTGTCTCGTGTGGTCGATTGCTGGCTCCTTTTCTTTCGATCGGCTGGGTAGGAAACCAATGGCTATCGGGTCACTGTTTGGAATGTTGATTTCGTTTTTCATAATGGGTGCACTGATGAAGACATACATGGATGGCTCGAGCGTGTCGCCGTATGGAACTGTTGCAATGATGTTTATTTTCCAGATGTTTTACTCTTTCACATTTACACCAATAGACTACCTTCATTCGCCCGAGATCTGGTCCACTAAGTACCGTGCTGCTGGAGTGGCATGGTATTCGCTTTCCAACAGCTGTCTTGGTCTGCTTTCTACCTTTACTCTGTCCATCGCAATGAGCAATATGTCCTACAAGTTTTATTTTGTCAACGCGGGCATCGATCTCGTGTTTGTCCCTCTTGTGTACTTCATATGTGTTGAAACGAAGGGAATCAAGCTGGACGATGTGGAAAATCTTTTTATTTCAGCGCCATACGGCAAATTTGGCAACAGTTTTTTTGTGCCCGAAGACATCGTCCAGGTGGAAGTTCTCGCTGCCGCAAAGAGCTAACACCATGACAATGCTACAGCTACTAGGTTTATAGCTTTGCTGACGTATATAGTCTAGCTAATTACAACGGGCCAGCCAGTATGGTACTTTTGTTGGTGTAAGAAGGTTTTTTCGTGTTTGCCTCGTTCTCCCGGATTACAGATAAGCTTATCTTATCTTTTCGCGGACTAGCCCGAAATTTTATCTACAAATATTCCAAATCTGTTTCGGGTGAATCTCCGAGCGAATTATTTAAGTGATTGCAACTGCAGTTAAATTCTTCACCATGTCAGCTACAGAAACCGTCACCACTCTTACTCTGGAGCCTACTAGTACGAAGAGTGTGCGCACTTACAAAGACGCCCCGGGAATCGTAGTCACCAAGACGAAATCAGTTCCTAATGAGCTTATTGAGGCAGCTTCTGCCACTTTATACCTTCATCCGCACGGAGATTGGAGAGACCAGCTCATCCGAGACGGCTATGCGGTGATAAAAGCAGCAATCCCTAAGCAGAAAGCTAGGGAATACCAACAGAAAGCTTTTGGATGGATGAAAAGCTTTGGAAACGACAGGCTGGATTTTCTTGACCCTGAAACCTGGAAGAAAGAGAACCTTCCCCCCGTTGACGTGAACATTAATGTCTACAACTGCTACGGCGTGACTCACGAAAAATTCATGTGGGATGCCAGAATGGAGCCGGGAGTATTAGGAGCGTTTGAGAAGCTGTGGAACACGGATCAACTATTGGCATCGTTCGATGGACTCAACGTAACACTTCCTAATAGAAAAGATGCTCAACGCAAGTCTCCCTGGCCACACTTTGACCAATCTCCCTATAAAGCAGGCCTCCATTGCGTCCAGGGAATCATCAGTCTGAGCGATCATGGCCCTGAAGATGGCGGCCTGGTGGTCTATAAAGGCAGCCACAACCTGTTCAACGAGTTTTTCAGCACTCAGATCAGGAAAGAGGACTGGGACGAATTTAACTACTATCAGCTCTCGGACGAGCAGCTACAGTGGTTTCTTGACCACGGATGCGAGGAGGTGAAGGTTAACTGTGAGGCTGGGGATTTGGTGGTGTGGGACTCCAGAACATGCCACTGGGGAATGGAGCCGACCGAAAAAAGCAACACCGTCCGGACAGTTATTTATTCGTGCTTCACTCCTGCCAAGTTTGCTTCTGAGGAGGCTTTAAGCAAGAAAAAGGAGCTGTTCGAGAACTTTAGCGGCACCACACACTGGCCACACGCAGACCTCACGGCAGTACGCAACCCGACACACACTAACGTCGAGAGAACAGGTCCTCTTGAAAAACCCGTCATGACAGACAAATTGCTTAAACTGGCGGGTGCAAAACCATATTAGTCTATTTCGTTAGTCCGTACGTACTAAACATACTACTGAGTCTATAGTCCTTGTACATCTTGATATGCTCTGGGTCATTAACGAATAGTTGCCCCTGAAAATCCTCACATATGCTTTGATCCATACCCACAACCAGAAGCATGCCTCCTTTATGGAGAAACTCCTGGCTGATGGTCTCATAACTGGACTTGTTTCCCGTGAGCACTAGTTCAGTAGCATTATTTCCAGCCTGACATCCCTGTCTAAAGGCCCATCCGGCCGTTTTCACCAACGGCAGATCTGCTAGATCACCAACTGCAAAAATGTTGTCGATGATCTTCCCGTCGTCTTTTTTCATTTCAAACTGGTGCGTAACAAGAATATCGCCGTTGGTTGAAAACACAGAAGGAAAGTTCTTGGACAGGAATGACACGTTGTTCCGTTTGTAGTTGCACCAGAAGATGAGGTCGCCGCTGAGAGTTCTCCCGTCTGTGGTCTCCAGTACGCCGCCGTCGTGTTCAGCCTTGATCCGTGTGTTAAGAAGAACCTCGACGCCTAGTTTTTGAAGAAACTCCAAAGTGTGGCTTTTAAACCTCTCACCAATCAACGGCTCTGGGGGCAGCGTCGAGTGTGGGTGAATCAGAGTCACCTCCTTTTCAGGGAACTGATGCTTGATTTCTCCCGCAAGCTCGATGCCCAGAGCGCCACCACCAATTATGACCGTTTTCTTTGCGCGTTTGATCTCGTCCGCTGACTCGCTCATTTCCTTCTTCAGCTCCTCAGTGGTCGAAGACAGCGGATCCAAAGGCCAATTTCTTGTGCGTCCGCTAGCAATTATGCAAGCATCAAAATCAACAGCGATCTCTTCCGCTTCGTTTGTAGGCTTATACCTGTCAGGCAGTCGCCCCTTGTCAAGTTTCTGGATTTTCACCCGGGCAACCGTATCACTCAGTTCACTAACGTGTCCCTGAATAAAATGCAATTTGAGGTTCGGATTGTACTTAAGCTCCTCGCCAAAGATGCCAATGTGCGGATTATCGCCGTTTTCGCTTCTCAACACCTTTTTTGTGTCAAAAGGCATTCCCTCCTGCAGCCTGAAAGTGTCCCAGTACACGTTGGCGCGCTCAAAGGAAACAAACGACTCGGCAGCAAACTCGGGATCAAGCACCGCCTTTGGGATACCGAGAATATTGAGGATTCCGAGCTTTGGCTCCACCAGCGTGACGTCCAGCTGCTGTGTCAGATTCTGTCCCTTCTTGATGATACTTTTCAGGGCTCCAAGGCCCCCGAAGGAGCCTCCTATAATCAAGATACGAGGCATAGAGAGTAGTAAAAAGTCGTCCCGATTTTTAAAGGATTTGCAACGCCCCGATATTTCCGCCTCAGGTTATCGCCGGCCTAAAGCCGACGGCTATAACACGGCCAAAACCTGAAGCGCCTCGCTGTCAAGGAGCCACAGCACTGCCAACGCTCCAATATATATTTACTTGGGCCATGCAGAATGGTGGAGGTAAACGCGCTCGCCTATATGCACGTCGGCGGTTCTTGTCTAAGCCCATGTATCGTTTCAATTTTCTGTGTGGGGAAGTGCGCCAAATATTTCCCAAATCGGATTTTTTTCAGTCCCCTCATATATAGATCGGCCTCCCGTCCCCTTCCCATAGAACCACTTACTCTCCATGACTTACAACAGCATCCCCAACCCATCTCTTCAGGTCACCAAGGACCACACGCTCGAAATCAAGGAAGCTCCTGTCGAGCGGCCTGGCGCAGGCGAGGCCCTTGTCCACATCAAGGCCACCGGTATTTGTGGTTCTGACGTCCACTTTTGGAAGCACGGACAAATTGGCGAGCTCAAGGTTCTTGGAAACTGTGTTTTGGGCCACGAAGCCGCCGGCGAGGTCGTTGAGGTGGGGGAAGGCGTGACAAACGTGAAAGTCGGCGATAGAGTGGCCATCGAGCCGCAGATGCCGTGCGGCACATGCTTTTTGTGTATCCAAGGAGACTACAATCTGTGTGAGAAGGTGGACTTTTTGTCCGTCTATCCATGCCACGGAACCATGCAGCGGTTCAGAAAGACCAAGGCTGCCACGCTTTTCAAGATTCCCGACAGGATGACGTTTGAGGAAGGCGCTCTGTGCGAGCCGCTCAGCGTGGCGTACCATGGGATCGAGCGCGCAGAGCTCGAGCTAGGCCGCGGAGCCATGATCTGCGGAGCTGGCCCCATTGGACTTGCCACGCTGGTTCTGGCAAACGCGAGCGGAGCAGCTCCGCTCGCAATCTCCGATCTCTCGGCAGAACGTCTTGCTTTTGCAAAGAAACTCGTTCCAAGAGTCAAAACGTACCAGATTGATCCAAAACTGAGCCCGCAGCAGAACGCACTTGGTGTTCGGAAACTTTTCGGGCCAACAGAGGAGGACGCGCCGCCAAGAGTGCTCGAGTGCACGGGTGTCGAGGGCAGTATTGTTACTGGGGCCTACATTGTCAGACGCGGCGGCACGCTGATGGTGATAGGCGTCGGCAGAGACATCATCAACAACTTTCCGTTCATGCATCTGTCTTTGGGGGAGGTGGACGTGAAGTTTATTAACAGATACCACCAATCGTGGCCTGCAGTGATCAGACTGATCAGCGACGGCATAATCGACGTGCAGCAGTTTGTGACGCACAGGTTCCCGCTTGAGAAGGCTGATGAGGCAATCAAGCTTTCGAGCGACCCGAGAAACGGCAGCATCAAGGTCATCATCGAGGACCAACTCCGGGTGCTGTAGCGCCAAAGTGTCTAAACTCGGGAATATTAGCCGACCTGCTCTAAAATGAGCCACGTGAAAATTCGTGGCTGGAATATATCTGTTTCTATATAATAGACTGATGCGCTCTAGTGTCAGGGGAAAACCGTGCTTGTCACTTGCGATTGCCGACGAGGCAGAAGGCGATGTTAGACTAGTATTTACCGCGAGACGAATCGATGGACATTTCTGATTCCCAGCCCCGGTGTCGCTCTGGAAGGGATCTCGTGGGAACTCTTGATCCGGCCGCTGTACAGACGATGCTGGACACTCACGTGCTGGGTCTGATCAAACTAACGCAGGATGTTCTTCCCGACATGTGCAAACGCAACGTTGGCTCGCCCGCCGAGCACCGTATCCTGGGGGTGCAATATATTGTGCTCCCCAGGCTGCAATTAAGTGCTTCCCGCGGAATTTGGGGAAAGAGCTGCTGGACACGACTATAAGAGTTGTGGAGGTGCTTCCGGCGCAGTGCACACAGAGGAGTGCGATCAGAGCTGGAAGATAAGTTTATGGGCAACAACTCGTTCGAGGCGGTCGAGCCTGTAGACTTAACTGTCCACGCGTTCGCAACACGTGAGACCAACGTCACTCCAGAGGCCGTCATTGTGCCCACATACCGATCGCACTGAGCATGTCAAATATTATATAGATCCTATAAAAAAATGCTTATCTCAGATATAAAAAAAGCTTATCAATTTCCAATATTTCCGACGTACTTCCACATGAGAGTCACAGTAGCCTGTGCTGGATGCCGGCTGAAAAAAATCAAGTGTATCCACAATGGCCATGCACCGTGCCAAAACTGCCAAACACGCAAAGGCCGCGACGAGTGCCGGCTGTTCACCACGCAGGAGTTTCGCAAGTACAAGCGGGCCAACACGGTGCTGCTCATGATGGATAGCGGCAAAATGGAGCTGTCGGAGAGTCTGGTGAATACGTGTATTGAGATTACTGTGCAGAACCATCCCGAACTGGTATTTCTGTACTTTCCCCCGAACATCAATCTGTTCCGGCTACTCGACCCGGTGGTGTGTCTCGGTCTGTGCGCTCTGAGCTCGCCATTTCTTGAAAAATCTCCCGAGAACTCAGAGTTCATTGCTGCTTTCGAGGCCAAGCTGCTCGAAAAACTGGACGACAAAGTCAGTATGGACTACTTGGTGCTACTGCAGGCAAGCGTGATTTGGCTGCTGCTCAACTGGCAAACCGGAAAAACCAATAAGGGATACCTGTTTGGCGGTTTTGCCGACCGCGTGTACACGACACTTACCAAACAGAAGAACGCGGGCAGCTCGCTAATCGAACAGGAGCTCTACATTCGCAGCATCTGGGCCTACCAGCTGACATGTCTGTCGCTGAGAGAAGGATACACGGATGGGCGTGCTAGACTGACAAAGTACAGACTTCCGGTGTCGAATAAGGACCTTCTTTTTGGACACATGGGGCCTTCTAAGTACCTCAGCGACATAAACCTGAGCCAGACGTCGGAGTTGTTCTATTTATTTGTGTACGCCACGGATATTTGGACAGACAGCAACACGTGGATTTTCAAGGGCGGCCGAAACCACTACAGAGAGGCACCGTGGAACCCGGCCAGCAAGTGGCACAGTCTCAACATGCGAATAGAGTCACTGGAAGCACAGCTGGGGCCAAAGGAGAAGTTTTCGCTGTCCAACCTGGAGGCCTACTTCTCTCTAGGCGAAGGAACGATTTTCTGCTACCTGCATCTGGGTATTTTAATATCCAAGATCCTGATTCGACGCAATTACTTTCCGTTTGTGCCGCTGGACCAGACAGGTCCCAAGGGCCCGCATCCACTGCCCAAGGAGCTTTGCGGCGCGCCCAAGGGCTGGTGGAGAGAAAACGCGCACACAGTTTTTGACTGCAGTCGCACGATAGCCACCATTTTTGACGAGCTGCAAAAACGCAAGAAGCTGTTTTGCAACTCGTACTCCGGCTACTGCGGCCTGACCGCTGCGTCTATGCTGATCTATGCGCACAACTTCCCCTCCTACGACCCCACATTCCGCGACGCAGACCTGTACTACCAGTACTGTCTGAATTTTCTGAAATTCTACAAAGCGCACTGGGAGCTGGGCTCCTACTACTACGATTTTTTACAGCACACGCGGCGGATGCTGGAGGCTGCGGCAAGCAACAGAATTGAGATTTCCAGCATTTCGGCCTTTGAAAACATGAAGGACGAGCTGATCGAGGTGGCCAACGTGGCTGCTCCGCTGCCCAAGACCGACCGGCTCAACATCGAGAGCCTGCTGCGTTCGCCAAAGGTGCCAAACTCGCCGGCCGAAGATTTGGACTGGCTCAGCGCAAACATGGCATGGGACTTTGGCTGGTCGAATCTGGGAGCTACTTTTACAGACTATATGTGCTAATCAGACTATATTGGGGAGGTGCACGAAAAAGAGGTGGCGGGAGTGGTTGCGAAAATGGCCTTCATGTACTCAACGGACCCGTAGAGACCCAGACAGGCAAAGGAGAGCGACGCAAGGGTCAGACAAACGTAGAAAACCGTGATAAGACCGTGCTTCCGGAAACCGTTTTTAACAAACGCCACGAGGGGCCGCTGATAGCCGGTGGCCTCCATGGTGGCCTCGTTGTAGTCCTCAATGAGCTCGGCGTTGGTCTTCATGAATGCCGCCCAGATGTAGAACCAGAACGGAATCACATACGTGAGCGGGATCATGGTCAGGGCAGACGTGAAGGCCGAGATGGAGGCCACGTTCGGCACACCCGTCGCCACAATGTAGATGATCGCCCAAACGATGGCCGTAGACACGTACCACAGCAATTGACCCTTCTTGCTGCGGATGTCGAGGTCGTGGAAGATCCGCGGAAGGTAGTTCTTGTAGATGATCTTGGTGTTCACGTGACCGTAGAACACGGCCTGGAACACGCCCACAATGAAGGTGATCACAGAGAGACCTTTGAGGGCTGTCATGTTGGAGAGCCCGAAAACGGATGGCGAATTTGAAAACTGGCCCTGCTGCGAGTAAACGTAGTTGCCGTAGATCAGGTAGATGCACACGATGGCGCTCTGGGCAGCAATCATGGACTTCCAAAAGTCCCAGGGTCTCTTCATCTCCGAGATAATTTCTGGGAACACCACAGAGCCGGCGAAAACGTACGAGATGTTGGAGACGGCAACGATCTTGTTAACCAGTGACTGTGGTGCCACCACGTATGTCATAATGGTGTCTTTGTCGAGACCGAGCAGGTTTTTCGCGTTGGCCCAGTTCGGCTCTCCAAAATAGCCCAGTTGCACAAACAGGTTGACGTAGTTGATTGCAGAGACGACAAGACAGAACTTTCCAACGTTGCTGAAGGTTTTCAGACTCGAAACCACCCCCAGAGCGGCACACAGAGCAATCAGCAGGCCTGTCCAGCAGTACCTAGCATCTTGCAGAATGACCATCGACTCGAGGGAGCTGATTGCTATGTTTGCGCCCGTGAGCAGCATGGCTATGACTTGGAGAAATATGACAATCTGCGCCCACGTCTCGCCGCCCAGGATCTTGGCAATCTCGGAAAACGACTTGATGGGATACTCTGGCGAGTCGAAAAGAAGAAACAGCCACCAGCAAATTCCACCTGCCATCAGAGTGAGGAAGAAACACACCACCAAAATCAGGTTTCCAGGCACATATCCAACGAGCGAGTATGAGTTTGGGATGAGCGTGGCGCCCATGATTTCCGAGGTCAGTAGACCGGCACACGGCAGCCAGTGCGACGACCGAATAGCAAGCTTTTCGTTCTTCCAGGTCTGGTACGAGTTGGTTTTGGGCTTAAGAGCCTTGATATACAGCGTGCTGTGCACCCAGTCGTGCCACCAACCAATCGACGAGTCTGAACGCACTTCCTCGTACTGTTTCTCTAGCGATCTTTGGGCATAAAATAGTCTGGCTGCGACAGATGGCTCGCTCACAGCAGGCTCCACAGAGTGAGTACTGTGGTACTCGACGTCGACAACGACCTTATCTTCCTTCATTGCGGGTAGGACGGATAAGCTGCGGATCTTATATTCTGATTTTTTTAGCATCAAGATAAGCAGCCTGCAAGCCACCGTTATCAGCTTATCTGAGATCTTTTTTGCATTTTCGAAATTCGGCTACACATTCGCGGATGCACTAAGCAATCAACCAGTGCTAATTGTCTCTTATCAGCCTGAGAACCGTTCCTGCCGGTGCACCAATCACAAGAAATCCCTCTCAACATCTCTGGTAACCACAGAACCCGCCCCGAGTATGCCCTGGCAGAATGAGTGCGTTGGCAGCTGTCCGGCAGTTGTCCCCGATAATTACCCTGCGAGAAGGTTCCACACCTTCGCCGCCGCGATTTGCGTGCAGCGGATGGTGCGAAGTGGTGATGCATGGATTCGGGCCGATATTGCAACTGTCGCCGATGATAATCAGCGACGTGTCCAGAATCACTGCGTGGGTGTCTACGCAGAGATTATCGCCAGCAAGCTGTTGAAGCCGTATTCGCGGCTGAAGGGGGTTTCCATGAGTGGATTGAACCCGCTGTTGCCTAAAGGATTCTTTGTGAGAGCTGCGGGTGCAGTTTTCAGCTTTTTGAGAGATTCATGATCTTTCGGTTACATCTGTTGTAGTCGAGAGCATTAGCTGGCCTGGCCACCTCAAACCCAGCAATTTCGAGCGGCTTGACCATCATGTCGCACACCATGCGAGAGATAATTTTGTCATATAGGGGCGTGGCAGGGGCTTTTTGAATAGTTTTGAGTGCAAGACCTATGAGCTCGTGGTTGAGCGTAATTCTCAAGCTATTTATTGTTGTTCACCGCCACGCAGAACCGGATTCCCTCCCCCGCCATTAGCTTGGCAAAGGCCAAACATGCAAAAAAATAATTCCCCCACCACCGCCAAAATTATATAATCCTCGTCAGATGTCCATTGAAGCACAATGGTTGCTGAAAAAATTAGTTGGGACTCGATCAAAGGCAAGGAACATCCGGTTCTCTCGCCGGGCTTTGTGAGCAATGGCCACGTGTTCACGTCGGGTATCATTGGCTCAAACTACGCTACCGGGGAAACACCCGAAAAAGTCGAGGACCAGGTCCATCTGGCCATCAGGAACCTCGAGAACGTGCTTAAGGCTGCCGGCTCTTCTCTCGACAAAGTGTTCAAGGTGACCATGTTCATCTCCCACGCCGAGTACTCCAAAGTCGTCAACGAGATCTACGGCCAATACTTCCCCAAAAAACCGGCTAGAAGCTGCGTCGTGGTTGCATTTATGGATGCTGCTATTAAATACGAGCTGGAGGCTGTGGCCACACTAGATTAATAAAAATATTCAGTACATCCATCTGTAGTTTGGATTTGAAGGTCCTTCAGCGAGCAAATAGGTGGGGACGTCCCGGTACGTCCAGGACACGCCCTGAGCCCTGTTTCTGCGACGGTTGTCCAGCACCATAAAGATCAAAATGCTGGCCACCGCGATAATGGCAGCACCGCCAAACCCGGCCGTGATTCCCAGAGCGGGCACGTATTTAGGAGCATCCTTTGCGCGGAAGATGTTTGTCGAGATGAGTCCCGCAGCGTTCGCCAGCGGCACGCCGACAGCAGAAATCACCACTCTTCTGTTCTCGTTCGGCGTGTTGTTGTTGTACCACGTGGAAGTGAGCACTGACGACGCTGACGAGCCGGTAGTCATAAGGAAGCACGAGAAGTACGCCACACCGATGTGCGCCTGTGTGTCGATGCAACCAAACACGACGAATCCAATCAGCGTGGAGGCCACGGCCAGCACAATAAAAATGGACCGCACGCGCAGCAGGTCCGAGGCAAAGCACCAGAAAATCAGCGCCACAGCCCCCCAGACGTTGGGGGCGACAGTGTACAGGTTTGTCATGACGGTGCCTTTGCCGAGAGACTCAATGATCTGCGGAAACCAGTTGTTAATGGAGTTGAGCGGCACTCCAATGAAAATCTCCTCAAACATCCACGCAATGGCGACGGGATGCTTGAAAACCTTGATGGCATCCATGAGTGACACTTTCTCGGTGGACAGCGAGGACGAATCAGTGCGGATCCGCCAGATGGCGCACTCACGCTCTTCCTCCGTAAGAAAGGTTGCTTTCTCGACCGTCCGCGGCAGGTAGAAGAACGCAAACACCGCCACAATCACGGTTGCCCCACCCTCGACCAGAAACAAAATCTGCCATCCATGAAGTCTTTCTGTTTTAATCTGGAACACACCAAATGCCAGCAGCCCAGAGAACGCGTTGGCAATGTTAGCCGCGGCGTAAAAAATCGATAGCCGTCTGGCCAACTCACCACGCCGGTAAAACGTACTCAGGTAGTAGATGATACCGGGGAAAAAGGCCGACTCGCACACCCCGAGAAACCATCTCGCCGCCATGAGTGAGCCGTAGTTAAACACCGACACCGCAAGCAGCGTGATGCTGCCAAATGTGAACATCAAGCACGGAATCACGTTGGCCGCGTTGTAGCGTTTGATCAGAAGCGAGAGCGGGAACGCGCACAACACAAATGGGATGTAGAAGATGGAGAGCATGTTGTTCCATTCCTGGCCCTTGATGCCCAAATCCACGTCCAACTTGTCGGTCTTTGCGTTGGAGATATTGCCCTTGTCGAGCGCATTAAACAGATACATCACGGTGATGAGTGGCAGGATCCTGATGTCGAACTTCCAACAGATACGACGCTCGAGCTTGTGGTCTAGCACGCGCACCGGCTCGCCGGGGCCGTGTTCTTTGTCGTCTGTGGCACGCTGTTCAAGGGAGACAACGTCAACTGTGTCGTGCAGTTTTGGATCCATGGTTGAGTGGTTGATACCATGGTTCATCGGTATTTATATCTTACCCCGTATTTGTGTTTTCTTATCGTGCCCCCCACCGAGGCGCGGGGAGATAACGTAGGTAATTGCGATGCAAGTCCGGCAAAGCAGAAAGTTGGCAGACAATAGCACTGTGAACACGTCTCTGATAGTCTACCAGAACATCGCCAACACTTGTGTGGGGGGGGAGGTCCGTAGCGTCCACATCTTCGCCCGCCACTAATTTTTATTTTTTCCAGTGGTGCTCCACCAGATGCAGCAAGCCCCAAGGAAAAGACGCCCTCGGAAATTGGGGCTTTACGTGTGCGAATTCCCCGGCTGTGGCAAGCAGTTTTCTCGTTCTGACCATGTGAAACGGCACGCGCGAAATCACACTAGCGAGGGCCGCTTCCGTTGCGAGGTCCCAGGATGCACGGCCGAGTTTACGCGGCTGGACATTAAAACCAAGCACCAGAAACGGCATTTTCGTCGGCTGGATCGGGTGAGCGAGGTTCCAGAAAGCTCCTCTGGCACTGCAGACAGCACGAAGCCCGAGGGCTCGTCTCCCGCTGGGCAAATGGAGTCAACAGAAAGTTCAGACCATACCACAAAAGATGTGATATCAGAGCCCACACCACAGATCGGACCGTTTGCCACCAATGTGGGGGACTCTGCGCTTGCGTCGCCGTCGTTCTCGCCGTCTCGTCTGATACGATGGATGATGCACGATCTGACAGAGGTGTCACCTAGCCATGCCGACCACCAGATCTCCCAAGGTCCGTTGTTTGCCGAATACCACCAGCTCGGCGCAGACACCGCCACAATGCTCAACGAGGTGCTTGCCATTACACCTGAGTTCCCCAACGCCAACTACCAGACCGATGTCGACGAAAACATCCTGCTGCACATGTCGCAGCGGCTGCCCATGCTCCAAGAACATGCAGACTTCGAGGTCTACAAGGTGCGCTTATTTCTGAAACTTTATTGGCGGATGTACCATTCGCAGTACCCCATTCTACACAGGCCGTCGTTCTCCACGTTCCAGGTCCATCCTCTACTTTTGTTGGCCATGGTGATGATTGGGGCGTCGTTTGCGAAAAAATGCCCAATGCCAGAGGATGTGGAGCTCAGCGACCCTGACGGTTTTGCAGACCTGATTGCATACCCGCTGAGGTGGCTGATTTTTTCGTGCGACGAGGCCAAGCCCGGTTGTAACTCGTGGGTGATCCAGAGCCTCCTCATGCTGGAGACGTACGAGATCACAAAAACGTCGCGCCGGTTGCACGAGCGAGCATGTATATACAACGGCACCAAGATCCAGCTTCTACGCAGAAGCCCGATCCTGGGCGGTGACCCACTTAAGGGAGTGAGCGCCGACCCGAGCCACTCAAACAGTCTGTGGACCACGTGGATAGAGAGCGAGTCGATGAAACGAGCTGCGTGGATGTCTTTCTACATCGACACCATCCATGCAGTGGTTTACGGCCACCCAGTCAGCATTTACGACAGCCAAATAAAACTCTCGTTGCCATGTCCAGACGATTTATGGGAGTACGACAACTTCGACAGAAACAACGCTCCCGCCTCTGTGATGCAGATGCCAATCTTCACTGATGCTCTTACGCGGCTGCTTCGCAACGAGCCGGTCCGTACAGGCACTTTTGGCCGCAAAATTCTACTTGCAGGCCTGCTCAACCTCAACATCCAGATGAGCCAGAAAGAGTCGCAGCTGACACTCCTGGGCTGGGACTCCAAGCGGGAAAACTGGAAGGCGAGCATTTCGTCAGCTTTGGACCACTGGAGAGTGCAGTTGCCGCAGCGAAGCTGCTGCCACGCAGGCTCGTGTCTCTACCATGCAGACAGCGGGCCGGCACTGTTGCCGCCTTCTTTCCATGCACATGATACCAAGTGCAAATTCCCCGAATATCACTCTGCCCAGCTGCATCTCTGGATCACCCATTACGACTACATAGTTTACGCGGGGGCGCCCAAACGGATGAATGTGCCGGTCTTGACAGAAGACTACGATGTGGTTGTGCGCCGGATTGCCAAGTGGGCGCAGTCGGATGCGGGTGCAATTTGCGCGGTCAACTCGTACATTCTGCTCTTTGAAATGATGCTTTCGCCAGAAAATAGCACCGATCAGGTGAATTATGTCTATGAGCCCGATAAAGACCCATTTATTTACCGGCCAAATGTGATTGTGTCCGCGACATTAACACTGTGGGCATTTACGTTCTACAACTACGGTCCGGAGTCTAGGTTTATGTCACCCGAATCCGGGATCGAGCTGGACGGGGACTATGCCCCTGCGATGGAGGACGCGTACGCTTATTTGCGGCGAATTCGCACGGAGCTTGTAAAGGAGACCGGCATCCCTTTCAAAAAGCTCAATCAGTTGGACCCGGACGAGTACAAAAAGGCCGTGGCCGAGTACGCTGCTGCTCTCTCCCGAGTCTCGCACATAAACTACATGGCAGGTCTGCTGCTCGCCCTCGCAACAGGCTACAAGAACGGCAAGTGGGAGATTGGTCGTGAGTACGCAAAACTTCTCCACAACTGCGCCCAAAGAAGCATGGGCAGCCCCGTGGTTTTCTGTATGAATATGTACGAAGATAACTAATTGTGCAGCACCCCCCACATTTTTTTTCTCCTCAGTGGTGGGGGCATATATAATGCAAGAAACAAAAGACCAAGCTACTAAACTCTTATCTTCCTATATTCTCCCATGACTTTAGAAAAGACTCTCAAAGACGGTATTTACTCGCCGGTGCCAACATTCTTCAAAAACGATGCGACCCAGTCTCTCGACACGGCCACGCAGCAAGAGCATGCGCGGCTGCTCTATCGCAGCGGCATTTCAGGAATCCTGGTCGGAGGCTCCACAGGCGAGGCAGTCCACTTGCCTTTGGAGGAGAGAGCGGCCATTGTGAAGTCTATTAGAGATGCTGTTTCAAACTCGTCGTTCAAAATCCTCGCTGGCGGTGTTGGATCCTGTGTTCCTGAGCTCTGCCACCAGGCTGCCGTCTACAAGGAAAACGGTGCCGATATGATGATTGTGCTTGTTCCTGGCTACTATGGCCCTGCAATCACCACCCAGAGCGGCCTGGAGGCCTGGTTCCATGACCTGGCTGATAAATCCCCGCTGCCTATAGTCGTGTACAATTATCCGGGAGTCCAAAACGGCATTGATCTAACGGGGGAGACATTCACCAGGATCGGAATGCACAAAAACATTGTTGGTTGCAAGCTGACCAACTTCAACTTCCCGCTGTATACGATGCTGGGCCAGAACGAGAAACTCAAGTCGTCCAACTTTACTCCTCTGTCAGGTGTCGGACAGGTTCTTCTTCCGTCTCTTTCTGTGAACGTGAACGGAGCGATCGACGGTTTCTCTAACGTCTTCCCCAAATGTCTTGTCAGAATCATGGAGCTGTACAAAGCTCACAGATACAAAGAGGCGCTGGAGTTGCAGGACATGATCACCAGAATCAACGAAATGACGGCTGCCACCAACCTGATTGGTCTCAAGTATGCTCTGAAGTACAAATACGGCTTTGGAGAAACCGAGGTCGGACGGCCCCCACTCAACCACCCCATGGACATGGAAGTGTGGAAAAAACACCTGCCGCTATTTGAACAGCTCTCTAAAATCGAGGACTCTTTATAGCTACATACTACCATCCTCTATATGGCACCCAAATATCCACCACCGTGTTACCATCTTCAACAACGTAGTACCATGGGTACGACGCTGCCGTGATACAGCTGTGCTGGGGAATAATGCTGACCACGGTGCCGGTAGGAATCAGCTTTGTGTCCTTCTCCTCCACAGGCGTCAAGATTCCGTGCTCCTGACTGAGCCGTCCAACACTCCAGTTTTCGTATCCTGGTGGGGACACAATTTTTCCAAACCCAGGCAGCGGACCAGACTCGCGTGCCAGCGCTATAACACCAGCGTTGATCAGCTGCTCGCCGGGAGCCTTGGAGCCCCTACCAGGATAGGCAGAGACAACTTCCGCAATAACTCTGCAGGCAACATCAGAAACCTCAATACAACCTGTAGCCAGCTGCTGCAGGTCGCAGAATGGGTAGTTTCCCGCATGGAGCTCGAGGTTACCAAAGAGCTCGCCCACAGCGCTGAGGTCGAATTTTTCTGCCGCATGAGCCGTTGGAGTGGCACCAACCGACATCTGGAGTTTCAGTGAGCTGTCAAACTTGAGTGCCTCTTTGCAGGCCTCATTCACGCTCGAAATCTCAGAGACTAAGAAGGATTGCGCCTGCTCAAAGTTTCTGGACGTGTACGAGTGGCCGGCGTGGCAGTAAAAGCCGTAGAGCGAGACTGTCTGGGCGATGTCTGTCTTTAGAATTTTGTCAAGCAGCTCTGCAATCGAACTAGGCAGGAAACCTGCTCTATTGGTGCCCATGTTGATTTTGATGAAGACGCTCCATTTTTTCGACAGCGAGTGTTTTTTGCTGAACGCAGCCAGAATGTCTAGCTGTTCCAGATTGTCCACCATCAGACGCAAACTCTCAACCTTGCTGCTCAGATCTGCAAGTTCTTCCAGGCGGCTGGAAACGACCGGCAGACTGAAAAGAATGTCCTTGATCAAGCCTTTAGAGATAAGGGGCAGCAGACCCCACGCCTCTCTGAGCGTCGACACAACGATTTTGTCGGTCTTGTACTTGCCGGTGCCAAGCTGCAGTACTGTTCCCTCGAGGGTTTTGTGGGTTTTAACGTGGGCACGGAAATCTGCGCCCAGGTTGTGAGCGTTTTCGAGCATTTTGTCCGAGTTTTGCTGAAAGGTCGCTCTGTCGACCACAAACGCAGGTGTGGGCAGCGACTCGATGCTGGCACCTTTGTAGGCCTTGAGCAGTTCGTCTTTGTTGGACAGGTCAGTGAGTTCAGATGGGTACTTCATTGGGTAGGATAAAGTGAATAATTTTGTCCGACTTTTATCAGTGCACGCGCATCTGCGCCCCCACCGCCGCAAAAAATTAACTCCGCACGATAAGCAGAAATGTAAAAATAGAGGAAATATATAATAGCTCTGTCAGCTCCAAATCCGTCAATCCACCATTATGTCGCCCTACTCTGTCACCCTCAACCCTGACTACTCATGGCCCGAGCCACTGAGCGAGCTTCCGCTCAAGATCCATCCCTCAATGGCTGGCAAACTCGACCCGGAGTACGTGAAGTTCTTCGAGGAAGAACTGTGCAACAGACCAGACATTCTGGAGACACACAAGTTTCCGCTTGCAAAAACCAAGGCTGGTGGAAATGTGATTCCTGGACAGGCTCCGCCAAAAGAGATGGCACAGATCTACGACATTCAGATTCCTAGAAAACACACCTCGGCCGAGAAGCCGATTCGCGCCAGGGTTTTCGTCCCCCAGGGCACTGCGCCTGCCGCGGGCTGGCCATGCACCGTGTGGTACCACGGCGGCGGCTGGGTTCTTGGCGGCATTGATACGGAAAACTCATACTGCACGCATTTGGCCGACAACGCCCACTGTCTCGTCATCACCGTCGACTACAGACTGGCTCCCGAGTTCCCGTTCCCTGCGTGTGTCGAGGACGCATTTGAGGCCCTATTGTACGTCATGGACACCAAAGACCTTCCTGTAGATAACACTAAGGTCTGTGTTGCTGGTTCTTCCGCTGGCGACAACCTTGCTGCCATCATGACGCACAAGTACGCCAGCTCTCCACTGAGCAAGAAGTACCCGTCCCTGAAATTCCAGATGCTGGTTGTTCCCGTGACAGACAACTCCGCGACGGGAGAGACACAACTCTCTTGGAGAGAAAACGAACACACTCCGCAGCTGCCTGCTGCCAAAATGCTCTGGTACCGTCAGTTATATCTGCCTCTTGCCGGAGAGACCTTGACGACTCCAGAGTCCAGTCCGCTGTTCTATCCGGATGAGAGCTTCAAGAACGTTCCGTCGGCATTTATTGCGGCTGCCGAGTGTGATGTGCTACGTTCTGAGGCTGAGGCATATAACGAGAAGCTGGTCAAGAACGGTATCGACAGCCAGATAACCATCTACAAAGGAGTGCCACACACGGCCATGGTGATGAACGCGCGGCTCAAGCAGGGCGCAGACCTCGTGAGGGATACGACAGGGGCCATCAAGAATGCGTTCTATGGGAATTAATTCAACCTTTGGTGGCTGCAATAAATCGCAGAAATCTTGGGTGAAAAATATTTGGATGCAGACATTTTTAGTGGATAAAAAAATAAAATGTATATTTTAGAGATGTAAACACCTTCTGGCTGGGGTCGTGCTAGAAGCTTGCTTTTTGGCACTGGACATTGCCGTGGCAACTTCTGTTAAATTGGCGTCGGCGTCAAGGTCGATGAGCGGAGCATAATACTTGTTTCGCGTGTTGCCACTCTTGATCTGCGCAATGGACTGCTCTTTGCACCCGGTCGTAGTGCATACGTCAGAAGCCAAAGAGCTTTTCGACATGTACCTGCTATAGAGCTCAAAGGCAGTATTGTTGGACTCAAACACCTGCAACACTCGCTCCCAGAACGTCGCATTAAGTGGGCTGGTGGCAGGCCACGACGGATAGTATTCTCTCGCCGAGTACTCAAGCTGCCACTTTGGTGGCTTGCTATCCTGTGTGGCAGCAATATCTGCGTAATACGTCAGCGAGTCGACTATCTCGTAGGTCTTTGGATCCACCTTGTATACTCTGTAGCCAGTGTTGAGATCTGTGAAGGTGGTAATGGACGGAGCCAGGTACTGCACGCCGATGGCTTTACCCTGTGAGTCGTAATTGAGAATGAACTTGTCCTCGTGGCTGTGACCAAAGAATTGGGCCTTGATGATGTCAGAATAATCCACCACGATGCAGTTGTAAAGGTTTGACCAAGGCACGATGCAGTCGGCGTCTCCTGGTGCTATGTGTGCCTGTATCCACACAGATTCGTTATGTAGCCTGCTGTCACTTAGCTCGTTCACTAGCCACTGCAGCTGGCCGTTTGGATCAAGATCCGCGCCGCTGTTATAGAGGATGTAGAAGTTGAAGTTGTAGCAGTCCACGGTGTTGAGGTTGATAAGCTTCAGGCCGGGAGCCGCACGCACAGCATATACACCGTACGAGTCTTCAAACTGCCGTACGGTGGACGCAGGCAACCATTGCTGAAAGTAGCTGCCCAGGGTGTCTAACGCCCACTGGTTGCTGATATTCCCGATTTTTGCAGGCGTCAGGAGATTCACCGGGGCGGTGTCGTGGTTGCCCATTGTACCATACAGCGGGGACTTTATGTACTTTGCCAGCGTGCTGTAGATTTCGAACGCTTCCGTCACGGTCGTCGCGTTGTCGTACCAGACATTATGTGGGGGTACGTCTCCAGTGAAGAGCGTAAAGTCTGGTGCTCCGCCAATAGTGGCCTCCAGACTCTGGCCAAAACTCTCCACTAGGTCCAGCGGAACATCGCATTGGTACGCTCCAAACCGGGTAGCCGGGGTCTTGACGGTACTGGACTCCTGTGTGCGTGCCTCGCAGCACAGCGGATAGTTGCAGTCTGCCTCCGAGCCAACCAGATAGTCTGGGTCGTAATGGATATCGGAAATGTGTAAAATAGTAAGTAGGCTTTTGGAGGTTGCATTGGAAGAGTAGTTGATGACAGCATCTGAGACGGGAGATGGCGCAAAGTCCATTGTGTGCGGCTCAAAGTCCGGACAGGTGTTGAGAAACGAGTTGCAAATGAGCTGCCCGCCATAACCGAGTAAAGAGTCGGAGGAGCTGGTGATCATCTTAATCACCACTGGGCCGAGCTGTGTCACTAAGCCGTCGCAGACGTCCTCTTTCTGAAAACCCTGGCAGATTTCTTTAACAATTTCCAAGGTAAGTTCCTCGCCAATTATGTCAATGACAGCGTTCACTGCCCCTAGGGCGGTCTGACACGCCGTGCACTCGATGCTCTGGCCGATCTCGGAGACCACGTCTTGCCAGCCAAAAAGTGACGGCACAAGGAGATCCAGAGCAGCATTTTGGGTGGAGCTCAAGCCTGCACGGGGTTCGAGCTGTGCAAGCGCTAGACTTGAGAGTCTTAGAAGCTCGAGGGTCTTTTTCGCAAGCATAGCTACCGTAGTAAGCGTCTCTTGGGAAATATATAGTTCTGAGCATTCGTCCACGTGTAGTCAATGAAAGGGGAACGCACAATGTCTAAGACCTGAACATGGCGCTACAATACAGCGAAACAGAACGGTTGCCGACAATGGCTGGTTGGAATGTACCTGAGCACGTGCCTGGATCTTGCAGGAAATTTTTTAGTGCGTGAGCGCGGAAGCGGTGGAACACGTTGACATGATAACAGGCACATAATGTCTCTTGGGGTGCAATTTTAGTAGCAGGCTCAACAAAACTCATGACAGATTTAGAATCCGACTTTATATACTGCTTGTTTCAGAGGATTCATTCGCATAACCTTGAATCTCTGTGCTTGAATATATGAGCTGGCTCTTCGATCCAAAGCGGAGACCCAGGCCAGTATTGATTCAAATCTGGGCCTTGAAAATGAGCAAGACAAAATTCAAAGCTTGGTGGAGTGCTAACTCAGGCATTACATGGATAAATGAAATTAATATAGTAAGATAATTAATTTTGTTCTCATTCTGAATGAGGAAATTTCATTGATAAGATATTTTAGAAAAGCAAATGCAATCGTGAAAAAGGGGCAGAATTGGCTATCCCAAATATGGTCGACCTTAGCCTTATAGGTGATTAGGTGTAGTAAGTAAAGCAGTTTCTGTTTACTTGCAAATTTGAACATGCTCAGAAGGGTGTCTGCATTTGCCCAGTAAAAAATATCAATAGTCATTAGGATCGAAGGTCAATCTTCAGTTACACGTCCAAGAGTCTGGGCCAGACAGGCACACTAGGTTATAGAGCCCGCAAACGCGTTGAGAATAGAGTAATGTCAATGTCTCCAAGGTACTTGTCAACTTGACAGAGTGTGCAGACAGCGTTGCATTATAAGGACTAGGAAAAACGTGGCTCTCCACAAAGTACACCTCCATCAAGAATATCTTCCTGTCAAGCTCAACACCTGTTAGGATGGTAAAACAGAACATGTAAAATTTGTGACAGTGATCCCTAGTTCAAGCCAATGTATCCGAAGACTTTTAAACCTAGAGCTGCGCTACATGGAAATACTCCCATATCTGGCAAAAAAAGTACAAGAAAGCAACATAGGAAAAACGTAGTATTTCCTTCTTCATGAAAAATGACAGTGCGAAAAGTTTGAATTGCAATCGAACAATTCCTCTAAGGGCTTTTATCAAGCTTGATGTATATACCTGTCAGTAGGCTTGTTGCAGAGCACGTTCTTGCAAATTTCAAACATAATGGCTGACTCCAGAAATGAAAGCAGAGCGAACTCTTGAAATCGGGAAAGCTACAGAGGTCAAAAATTGCGCGAGATTGTCGCTAGGCGGCACTATTTAGGCTGAAAGCATATTGTATCGGTGAGGGTGCATCTTAGAAAAGCCAACACAAGACGTGATTGAGAACATCAAAAAACCTGTCACTTTGTAGTCGACTTCCGAAGGTTATGTCTCCCGATAGTGGAGGACAGACTTTCGCCACTGACAGGTAAGCAGCTTATATGATGCATCACTACATGCATAGATATATTTGGAATGGAATTATTGCAGAGAAGGCAAAGTTGAACTTGTTAGTAGTCACTTCAAATACTTGTAACTCATTTGAGCGCAACTGCCAAAAGCGGAAAATTAGCTTTTGCTTATCAAGAAACCTCTTGATAAGGTCAGCGGGGTTTCACACATCGCTAGCGGACTAGGCAGGCTATATAAACACCAAAGCTTCCCGGCTGTGAGAAATTACACCACCGATGCCGACCGCCTATCCTCATCCACAAAAACACCTTGGTCACGCCGTCAACTACCTCACCGGTAACCATGAATATGACATCCCTAAAGAAACCGTTGACGGAGAGATTGCCCAACTTCGTGCACGCCTAGAGAGCAAGCCATCGTTCAATCCCGGGCTCACTTTTGATCCTGAAAAGCACCTAATCAAAGACCCAAGCGCCAAGGTTCTCACGCTTGATGACTTGAAGATCAAGAAAACCCGTGTTGCACCGGTATGCAACTTTGCCACCACATATCAGTTTCCCCTGTTGACTCAGGAGGCTGTGGATATGATTCTCTGGGAGGCTTTGCGTCCGGAGATTGTTGAAAAGTACGGCCGTCTTCCTAACCTCGCCAAAAGTGCCACCCGTCTCGATTTCCATATTGGCGGCCACTGCAGTCGCTGGGCTCCATTTACACAGGCCCTGTGGAATAGCCCCGAGTTGAGAGAGATTCTCGAACGCTTTACAAAAGTGAAAATGAAGCCGCTGTTCAGTGCGGGTCATTTTAATTTCTCACTAGCAGAGAAAAACGCTACAGAGCCTCCAAGCGAAGAACTTCTCAGAAAATACAGAGAGCAGAGCAACGGCGACGAGGTGCCATCATCTCTCGGAATGCATTACGACTCGTCGACGTTTGCTCTTGTTATTATGGCTGAGCTGGACGAGAATACTATTGGCGGCGAGACGGGCATTGTCACAGGTGATAACAAGTTTGTGCGCGTGCCAGACCCAAAGGTGGGCTCTGCCACGCTGATCCAGGGCATGGTGCTCAAGCATGTGGCCACCAAGCCGGTCTCAAATTCCAACCGTGTGACTGCCGTTGCTGGCTTCTGTGTGGCAGGCCCCGAAAAGCTGGATAACAGTCTTTTGACCAGTGTGAAGCCATCAATTCTCCCTCGTCAGAACTACAACGAGTTCTACAACGACTGGGCGCAGTTCCGGCTCACGAACCTGGCTGAGCACATTTTGCACTACCGCGATCAGCTAAAAAACGTCGAGCAGTTTGACCAGAAAGATTTCATTGCGCACTGTCAGGAAATGGAGTCGTACTTGCACAAGTGCTGGGACGAGATGGAAGAGCATTACAACCCTCCATATCCACCAAAAGAGTTCCGCATCACTTATGACGAACTATAGAAAAAAAAAACAACAAAAAATTTATGGTAGAATAAATTATAGCACATACCTATAGGTAGGGGCCTTATCTCCTAGCTCAGCCAGCTCCTCCAGGGAGAATTTGTCAATTTCCTCTTGAGACAGAGCATCCCGTTTTCTGTTTTGCGATCTCAGATAGAGGTAATTGCACATGCACGGCACCATGGCACCAAGAACCGTGCAGCCGACGGAAAATCCGAATCCTAACGGGTAGTAAGGTGCCTGGGAGTCGATATAAATATTTGAGCCAATTCCACCCCCACCAATGGAACCCAGAAGCATCATGAAGCCAATTGCCGATGCCCGCTTGGTTGGGTTTGGAATGTTCAGGGACAGCCAAGCACCAATCCCTGGGGCCTGCGCATTGTAGCCCGAGGCTGCGAGGAAAATAGCAAAATACGACACGCCCGGTAAATTAGGATGGTGGACAGTGATCCATAAAATGATAATACCCACAAGTCCAATTGTGTAGCAAATCATAATTGTACGAGCACGCTGCTGCGAGCGGTCAGCCCAGATGGCCATGGACACAGTGAGAATGGTGGCCGCAACATATGGCGGAGTGGTCATGGCCTGTGCCTTGATGGCCGAATAACCAAGGTTTTTGACCATAGTGGGCAGGGTGTAGGAAAGAGAGTATGTTGGAACAGAACCTCCAAACCAGAACATAAGCATAACAAAGTAGACTTGCGGGTCCTTGAGAGCGTTCCAGGCCTGACTCATCTCAAATTTCTGGTTGGTTCCTGCCGGCCCGTTATCGTATTTTTTCCGCAGATAAAGGTAGTCTAGCTCTTTATCAGAAAAAAACCGAATCTTGTCTTCTCCAGGGAAATTTGGCAGCATGACATATCCAATAAGGGCAACAAACACTGTCGCAACTCCTTCAATGAGGAACAGCCAGCGCCAGGCACGCCAACCTCTGGCATAGTCGAGATTACCAATCCCGTAAGCCAGAACTCCACCAAACGCACCGGCAAGCGTGTTGGCACCATAGAAAATTCCCATTCTTGTCTGCAGCTCGGAACGGGTGTACCAGCAGCTGAGAATGAAGTACGAGCCAGGGTAGATCACGCTTTCTGCGGCCCCTAGACACAGCCGAATACCAATATATTGGTGCCAGTTCTTCACAAAGGCAGTGCACAGAGCCACGACTCCCCAGATGACCATCATAGAAGGCACCCAAAGCTTAGGACCAACCCGCTTGAGGGCGATGTTCGAGATGGGCTCAAACAGGCCATAGGTAAAAAATAGGCACGTGAGGGCCAAGTTGAACTGTTCGCCAGTCATATTGGTGTCTGTGAGAAATCCAAAAAGTTTTGCATTACCCGCATTTGACTTGTCGAGAGTACACCACAAGTAGCAAAGGGAAAGGTAAGGAAGCAAGCGTAGATCGATCTTGGTCAGCATTCTGCGCTTTTCTTCGGAATGAGAAGAGTAGTGTTCCTCCAGCTCGAGGAGGTACTCGTAAGAGGACTTATAGTCGGTGTCAGCAGACACCTGAGTGATTTCAACGGGGCACCCTTTCTCCATACCAGAAGTCAGCAATTTTTTCGGTTTATAAATATAGCTTATCTTATCTTATCAGGAAATTTTTTTTGTCGGCACTTGATGCCGACGCAGTCCATAGATTAGGTATACAGATACTCATCGAGCCGCTCGTCGTCCGAATCCTCCTTTGCAGGTATTGGGCGATTGGCCAGCGGCGTCAGCCGGAATCCGTGCCGACGGTACTGGTCCACGGGATAGTCCAGGGTTTGGGAATGGCAGGTGATTCTT